ATCCATCGATGTTCAGAGGGATCTAGAGGTTCCTTCAAGTCAAAGTTCTGCAACCGGAGTCTCAAATGTCGAGGGAGTTCTTGCAATCTCAGAGCCTCGAGTCGCGCATGAGCATGTCGAAGCGATGGCGAAAGCCTACGCGGCGCAGCAAGTTCGGAGATGAGAGCAAACATCCTCAGGGCGAGTCATTCCCCTGAGTTCTGTATATGCGTGGCCTGCAAACACTCGGGATCGTACGGCATGGCTTGAAGCGGCAAAGACCACGTCGCATTTCCTGACGCAACAAGCGACACTGGGAAATCAAGATGCCATGTGAATCGCGGACTTGAATGCTACGCATCTGGGTTTCGGAACAGCTCAGGATCTTCTGTGTGTTCAGCTTCCGACCGCCCTGTGTGAAGCCCGCCAATTGGCGGCGTTACTCCAGACGTTGTTGTTTGAATCTGGTTTCCAGTTCGATAACGTGCTTCAAGAGTGGTTCCGTACCAGAGCCTCCAAGATCTCAGCTGACCAAGTTCAGCTAGACTCTGAAATCATTCAATGCCTTTTGTCAGTGGAATTCATTGAGTGGAATAGGCTCACGGAAGGAATTCACTATGAGATCCGAGCAGCCTCTGAAACAATGGTCGCCGGAGACCCTGAGAACGTGTTGATGACGGATATAGAAGCCGGTCTTCTTGGTGAGAACTTCCTCATTCAACATCGATCCAGAGTCTGGACAGCTAGAAGCTTTCAGGGATCGTCAGATGGGGAACCACAGTTGAAGCAGCAGCAGAACGCTCCACCTAGACCTCCGGCAAGAACCCAAACATCGCTGTCGACTGGTTTCACATTACCAACTCCATCCGAATCAGGTTCCAGTCTAGCTCAAGCAGTTCAAGGTCTCAAGATCGAGAACGCTGAATCCACTGGTATGTTGGACTCCGTGCCAAGTATCGTAGGACTGTCAGGTTCCTCTCAAGATGTATTCGGTCCACACATCGTCCGGGATTGGCACGTCCCACGAGAGCTCTGCATCTTCAATGATGTCAATCCCAGAAGGAGGAGCAACGTACCCTGGACAAGCGGTTGTCATGCATATCCAATCGACAGGTGTGCAAAATGCAGAAGACAGTGGAGGTGGAACTCTGAGTCGGACGTTTATTCCCGCACAACGACCTGAGCCCTGTCAAGAAGACGTCAGCATGGACGAGTTGAGGGATTACGTGGACTCAGAAGCTACCCCTCGCTCGAAATCAGATCCCACGCGCCATCGACAGCGCCAACGCTTTGAGAGCCAGGGACACGGGCGTGGAACGAGTGTGTCTGAGTATACATCGTCGCAAGACAGGAGTCTTCGACGCGCAGTCAGAGATCAAGCCACTCTGAGCGGTCAAGTAACACCGGGGTCTCTCGTCGGTCTGGAGTGTCCTCTGAATCCTCCAGCACAGCTCAAGTATGATGCTACAACAACAGGCAGGAATGACCGAATTGCGTAATCATCATGAAGCCTTCCATGAGAGACAACATCTGTTGCAGATAGAATCGACCATGCAAGTGCAGACACAGTGGTAGTAACAGCAAGATCAACTAGAAACACAGCGGTTGTGGAATGAACAGTAGATGGAGCGACGTATGAAGCAGCAGCAATATGGTCTTTCGGAGAGTATGCAAGCGCTTGCCGATAGGCTCGTTCAGCTGGAAAATTTGAAGCCTCAAACTTCTTAGTACGAGCAGAGACCCAAGCCTGGCTCACAATAATCGATGTCAGAACATTCCGAAGCTCTGAGATCTCCAAGTCCGAAACAGGAAACCCCGATTTCGAGAGTCCATTTTAAAGAATCCATCGAGCACAAGCAACAGCGCATGCAACGTGAGTTTGACGATAAGCTGGTTCAACTGGCACAGAACTGGCTGACGAACGCTCAAAATGCTCTGAAAGAACGCGAGAGAATGCTCAATTCTCAATGGTCCAACTTTGAACAGCATCTCAAGAAGCGAGAAGAAAAATGGAAGCTCAAGAGAGAAGCGATGGCGACCGGCATGCAAAATCAGATGCTAACGGTCCTTCAAGCCGCTTTCTCCCAGATTACCCCCAATCTGGCAACAGATATGCACTCTGCATCTTCGAGTTCCCCTGATCCAGAAATTCTGAATCCAGTACGAGAAGTCGCCGTCCAGAATAGTTAGACACCCATCGTGGGCTCGTCACCGACGGTGGCATCCGTCCAACGGAGCGGTGGACCAAAAGCAAGAAATCAAGCGCGAGACACTTCCCGTCAAGAGCGCTACTCGTCAAGAGTCGCCAAATGCCTCACAGACTCCACCCATCAAGAGGCGAACGGAGCCACAAGTTGCGAGAAAGTCTGCCACACGAAAGGAAGATGTTACATCACCATCGTCGAAAAGGCCACAGCCGAAGAAGGCGAATAAGAAGTCTGACCCTCCACCGGACGACCCAGATGATTCGGTACCCAATGATAGCGACAACGATGTTGGTTAAGGAGGAAGCTCTGATTCTAGTGCTGAAGGATTTTCGAGCGAAGAAGAAGCCATCGGGATGACTACGACGACGAATACGGCCGATGGAACAACTATATGGAATTGCAGACCTTACAGTGGTTACACTAACCTGGAGAAGTTTGATGAAAAGGCGTCCAGGGATAACTGAGTCAATTGGTGGGAGCGATTCTCGGATATGGCATCGCAAGGATCCTGATCTGATACGATGAAGGCTCGTCCGTTTAGGAGCCGGATGCCCACAGCGATCAGGGATTGGTTTACGCAATTACTCAAATCTAGACGTCACAATTGGGAACAAATGTCACGCAGATTCAGGAAGCTGTATATTGGTACTACAGGCTCATACTCCGAAAGGTACTTTACGATGAAGATGACCGACCACGAAACCCATGACAGTTCTTCTATCGTCTGAATGCAGCGGCGGTCAAGGCTGAGGTTAAGTTTAAGTCGATCTCTAAGCTACGTGAGTCTCATATTCGAAGATTAATCAAGAAACTCTGAAACGATCACCTGAAAGCAGCTCTCGAAGGCCACAGGTTTCAGAGTATCACGGACTTGGAGCGAGCGTTACGTCGCCATGAAGATGTTTGGTGTGAACAAGGGTATACCTCCCCAGCTCCTAAGAAGCCCAGCGATTTCCGCACCGACAATGTCCATCGAGTTCGAGCTCAGATTCGTGGACCTGCCAGACGTCAGGGCGCGCTTTTGTGGCTCAAGGAGATGTCGAACCCGCGCAGGACTCAGTGTTTCAACACGAGCCTCAGAGCCCTGAAGTGTTTGTAGAACAAGCAGATGCACACTCGAAGTCGATCCCAGAGTTATCCCATAATGGAAATGACGGGGAAGTATTTCTGGTCGCAGAGAACCAACACTGGAAGTCACGTAGCACGTACGCGGGCCAATGTGTAGCGCGACCAGAGAAATGGGATGTCTTCTGTGAGAAATGTAAGAAGTGGGGCCAATTATTGGGCAGGGGATATATATGAATGATGTCAAGCCAAATGACACCCGGCCAAAGTCTGTACCAGGATTCCGTGTACGGAATGTGGAGGCTTTCATGGTGGAATATCGTGTGAGCAGTGGAAAGCTTCCAGTCAGTGATGACAATGGCCAAGCAAGGACATGCAAGTGAATTACCAACTCAATTTCGAAGTCTCCTTCGGACCAAGGATCACGCTTCAGGGACGCAGCAGCTAAACCACTAAGCCCGCCGGATGGGGTTCCGGTACGCGACGGGCCTGAAACCCCTCGAAATGTGTGTGTTAGTCTGTATAGGACCAGAACGAAGGACGCAACTACAAGATAACCAACAATGTATGAATTTAGTTCAAGATGAAATCATCTACCCTGAACAATTGTACTCGGAGTACCAGTGTTCAGAAGACTTAATCCCAGATATCTCTGAGTCTGAGTATCAGAATCCCTTGGAAGTGCTGTTGAAACCGGGTCAGAGGTACGGGTGGTGGGAAGGTCACAAAAATGGAGACATGCATGGATCGGCGACGATACATGGAGCTGTGCATGCTTCAGAGCCAGACATTTATTGCGTCGGTGAGTACTATGAGTCTTGATCTAGCACGTAGACTCAAGCTCAAACTCCGGACACACCGTCAAATTAAAGTTTCTGGTTTGGGAGGAGTGACTACTTACATCAATACTCATGCCCGAGTGAAGATAACACTTGGGTGGAGTGTGGTGTATGTCCTGAACATCTGGGTCGGAAATATCGGAGAAGGTATTGACGTCTTGTTAGGCATGAACTTTATGCATTCGGCAGGTGTCCAACTCTGTGCTTAGTCAAGCTGTCAGACGAAGAGACTGTGGTTACGTATGATGATTATCCAAAGTCTCGTCGTATGGATCTACCTGTGTGCCCAGAAGAAAGCATACACTTACGTCCTGGTCACGACGCTATTGTACGAATCCGGTACGGCCAGTCCAACCCTCAACGCGAGTTGGTGTGGGCCGGGAGAGGCAAAAACTGGGAGACTAAATTCTTGTATTCTGCTAGATCCTGCGCGACTGCCGTCAAGGTTGTCACTGTTTCAGATCAAAAAAAAATGTTTGGGTTGATACTAGAACTGCTGTTGCCCGCATCATGGAGTACGGACAGTTCCCGGGGCAACATGGATTTGTTTGTCATGGGAAGGCGCGATATGAAGAGCAACAACAATTATTTCATGAGTGTACCGTTTCACGTCAGGCGAAGATGCGTGCTGAACGCTTAGAGCAGTGTATCAGGGAAAGGGTGCTTCCTTGCACCCGGACTTGGCCTACTAAACTCTGAACGCGTCCACAGCCTCAATCAGCCTAGGTGCGGATGGTGAAGTTGCAGGAAAGGCCGGAACATCAGGATATGACAATCAACATCACCGGAAATTCAGCTGTTGTTATGAAGACAGTCGTGTGAAACTCCGAGGGACTTGAGATCCGTCTTGAAGAGGCAGGAGGTGCTTAAGTAGACCAGGGCCCAGAATTTAGGGTCCCGGATCTGGAGAATGCTGCTGACGCCGAGGATAGTGGCGGAAGAAGAGTCAGTGGATGCCCAGTCACAAACGAGTTGTTCGACGCCAGTCCAAATGCTGGAAGCAGAATATGCTCGGGTGATGCAAGTCTCAGCCGAAGAATTGGACCTGGAACCTGCCGTATATCTTCGAGAAGGAAGTGATTTGATGGCGCAGCTACGAGACCAACTTATCATGCTCCCGGAAAGTGAGGAACTGACCCCAGAATGTAATATCGACGAAGCAACTGTTGGGGTCCCCAGGGTCACAACTCCAGATATGGAGGCCAAGATGAGAAGGATCCCGAAACGCCACAGCAGCATCTTTCTGGGAGATGGCAACGCAGCTCCTGCTCCAGTTAGGGGCGTAGTGTGTGACATCGATGTCGGTGAAGTGAAACCAGTAGTTTTGCGTGCAAGACAGATTCCTGCACCTTTCTTGGTGAAGGTGTTTGAATTCTTGAAGAAGTTGTTTGAAGCGGAGATCATTGAGCATTCAGAGTCCGAGTGGTCATCGCCCATTGTAATCGTGCTGAAAAAGAACGGTGTAGATATCAGGATGTGCATCGACTACCGATTTATGAATTTACTCATCAAGCTATCCCGTTACCCTCTACCTCTGATTAATGATCGGCTGGTAGACTTTGAATCCGCGATGTCTCGACGTGGCGAGTGGATTCTGGGCAGTATGTATGGCTGAACGTGGGAAGTTGATCTCTGCGTTGGTTTGCCCGTTTGGCCACTTGCAATGGCTCAGAATGCCTCTTGGATTGAAGAATGCGCCTTTAATTTATCAGAGCGTCATCAACAACTGTGTGTGGAGATTCGTTCGCCTACCTCCTGAAGAAGAAGCGATGGTTGACCCAGAAGTTCTAGAGTTTCTGAATCTTAAGTCTCAAGAAGCCCTGAAACCCGAAGTAAATATGGAAGACTCAGAGGTTCCATCATTGAAAATGCCTGTATTCCGACGCAATATTCCGGATCCGTCACAAATGGGTCCGGTCTTGGGGAGAAGCTCATATATTGACGATATCGCTCATGGAGCGTCCACCTGGGACCAACTATGTGAAGACCTGGCTGCGTTGTTATACAGACTGCGATATTGGAATATCTCTGTAAGTTTGCCAAAATTGAATTTGGAAAGTTGTCTATCCCATTCCTTTTTCATGAAGTGAGTGCGGACGGAATCAGAGCATTGCCGACGATCGTCAAGGGTATACAAGACTTACCTTTCCCGGCAACGTAGAAATGAGTACAGTTATGCTTAGGAAGCCTGAATTATTACAACAAGTTCACTGAACACTTACCAGTAGTTGCTGCTGTGCTCTACGAACTGGACAAGAACGTGTATGTGCTGGACAGAACTGGAAGCCACGAAGGAGTACTAAAACGTAAGATTGTGTCGACCCTGTTGTTGCGGCACCCAGACAGAGGCAATCCTTTCGTGATTATTCCACATGCTAACCCGTGGGCGGCGTGTGCGGTCATGGGTCAGGAATATGAGGAACTCATACACCCTGTAGCGTTAACGGGCAGAAAGTTGAAGGAATCAGAGTTACGATACCACATAGCGAGAATGAGATACTCGCAATCTTGCGGACTTTAGAAGTTTTCAGGCCTCTGATCTATGACTCAGAATTCCCGGTTGTAGTGTATACGCACTACCCCGTGTTGAAGTGGTTACTAGAATCCAACACTGCAGATGGACGGCATCTGATGTGGGGACTGGAATTATCAAGGTGGACACTGGGAATCCATCGGACTCAGAAAGATGAGGACGGCCTTGACGCCATCCTTGGATCCGGTATCACTCCAAGGGAACATTTGGACAAAGTTGCAGAAACTCTGATTCCCGCCAAGGGTCGTCTGAAAGTGATGCCATCAGTGAGTCTAGAAATGTTAGACGCGAACTATCAAGGCTACGTTCTGAGTTTCTATGGTGCTGCAAAGGTTTCTACCTGCCGAGGAAGCTGTGGGTGTATATTGTGCAAGCTGCCAGGATGGCAGGTCATGAAGGCTGAAAGACACATCGTAGAAGGTGTGACGGTCAACGATGCTGGATATCATGGTTTAATTATAGGTTTAAAGCTTACTTTAAAGTTTGAGGTCAAGGAACTCGTGGCAGTCAGGGATTCTCGGATCGTCGTCCAACAAGCCCAGGGACTGATTAATTGCAATCAGCCTAATTTGCAACGACGATTAGCTTGATATGAGGATCTCAGGAAGAATTTCGCGTCTGTGAAGTTGATTCATGTCAAACGTGAATTCAACCAAGCAGCCGACTACTTGACCTCTAAAACCCTCGTTCTTGAAGAATCCTGGGAGCTCAATGACCCAGACGAGATAGTACACCTACCTCTCGTATCTAGAATCCCTGAAATGATCATGAAGCCTTCGGAAATCTCAGATACTTCTGCGACCGATGCGGTACATACGGACCAAGTCGAACTTGAAATGAGAAACCCCGATGTCAGAATACCTGAGTCTTCGGCTGCCGCTGCTGAGGCATTGATGGTGATGACGAGAACCCGTGCAGGAGTAGACACAGAATCCCGAACTTCCGTAGACCGGTCTGGATACCAGGATGGACGTTGAAGAAGAAGAAATGTTCACCAAGACGAGGATCTGCGGATTCAGCAAGTGAAAATGGTTCTAAAAAAGTAGATCTGTCAGAGCTTTCAAGGAAACAAATGAAGAAGATTGCTAAGGTTTCCGATCAGTTTGTGCTGGATTCGCGAGAAGTCCTTTACAGACTGAGTGCACCCACTCCAGAGAGACCACGCAATAAACAGTCAGAACTCAGACTAGTGGTCCCAGAGTGCTTACGTGCCGACATGTTACATTACTCACATGAAGATTTTTAGGGTGGCCGCGAAGAAATCAACCGGACGTTCGAGCGTTTACGTTCATAGTTCTCTTGGATCGGAATGTATGCCGATGTTCAGACGTTTGCGAGGGGGTGTGTCGATTATGCGTCAGCCAAAGGGCCACCACCGGTTGCTGGTCCGTCGCCTGGCAATATCAAACCAAGGTATCCGTTTGAGGTGGTCTCTATGGATTTTGTCACTGAGATACCTGAGTCCGATCGTGGATATACATGTTGCTGTTCCAGGATCAATTCTCAGGATACATCATGTGTAAACCACAGAAGCCCAAGATGTCGCTGAAGCATATGAAGAGTGTGTATTCCGGAGATTTGGGCAAGTTCCATGATCAGACATGACCAGGACCCTCGTTTTATGAGCAAAGTATTCGCAAGATTCAGAGACCTTCTGGAACGCAAACAGCGTGCGACGATAGGATACCGGCCTCAGGCCAATGGACAGCAAGAACGCTCTGTCCAAACCGTGATGTGAAGTGTCAGAGCATATGTCGGCGAAATGGACCAGAGTGATTGGGACGAACATGCAGAACGTCTCATGTTCGCCTTGAATACCTCGTTCAACGCTACAAGATTAGACAGTTCGTTTTATCTGGTTCACGGCTGGGATGCTCAAGGGGCCATATTCGCAATGCTGGGCTCGAAACCATCCACAGTCGAAGAACGAACAGCCATGGAATGGCGTCGTAAGATGCAATGGGATTATCGCTATGCACTTGCATGCGCTGAAGACTTGCAAAAGAACGCGAAACGTCCGAGATCTGCCGCCCAGACGCGTAAGTGGAAGGAACTCTCGGACCGTGTAAAGGCAGGTTTCGAAGCTGGTGACTCTGTCTGGTTGTATATTCCCAAAGTCCGTACAGGATTGAGCCGCAAATTAGTTCACATATGGCACGGACCTTTCCGAATCGATGAAATCCATGATGACTTCAGAGTCAAGCGAGTACGTGCTACCGTGTAAACCCTTGGGTCCGCATTAGTCGCCTCAAAGCCTTGTTCCTTAAGCAACCTATCGCAGGGGTACAGGTCTCGGAATAAGACGATTTTGATGCCGCTTTGTTACCCGAGGATAGTTGGGAGCCGGACCCTGCAAAGGATGAGTATGAAGTCGAAGCCATCCTGGATCTCAGGTGGATCAAACGTACAAGGACCTCCAAGCGTTCTCGGGAATATCTCATGAAGCGGAAGGGATACACGGATCCAGAATGGATACCTCTGGCTCAACTTAATTGCGGGGCACTGTTGTACGAATTCAACCAAGGCGCTAAGGCCAGCGCACGTTTCCAGGCCATGCAAGCTGGAGACGATCACCATGGGAACTAGCTCCGAGGATGGCCTGACCCAAGCAACTCGTACATGTGAACAGATGATATTGATTTTGGGAACCGATGTGTATTACCCAGTGATGAAGCTAGAAGAAGTGAACTCGAGAAGATCCTTCTGGGTCTGTTGATTCTGTGGAGATAATATCTGAATCCAGTGATGATCCTAGAAAAAGAACCAATGAAATCACGTGTGAAGAGGAAGAGTCACCAGCGCATTTATCCGCATCGGCGGAGGATGAAGCATGTGAACAGCTATCAGATGGTCTCATCAGCTGTTTCAGCCAAGTGAACCCGACAAACGGAATTCATCATGCCCTGAACAAGGAGGACGTCATAGTGTATCGGTCTTCCGGGTTAATTTCTGATTTTGATCCAGCATTCTGAACTCATGCATTTTGTGAGTTAGTTCCGTACAGAAGAGGAGGCCGCGACCAGTGCGAATTGGGCTCCGCAAGTACTTCCGGTATTGCACGAGACTATCATCTCGACGACATTCGCAGCATCGAACGTTCTTGCTGGTCGTATTCGATGTTCTCGGCAACATACTGCGCTCTCCGCAGTATACATATAGGCAAAGATCGCCGCATTTGATGGAGGGTGCCGCTGGTGTTTCCCGAGATGAACTACAAAATTTTGTACAGTACCAAGAGCAGTGTCTTGATGCGCTAATGCACCAGCTATCTCTACCGTCCTCGTTGTCTCTGAACGAAAATGTTCGAGTTTTGTACGGGTCGATTGCTGCGGGAATGCGTTCCTACTGGGGTTCAAACGAAGAACGTTTAGGAACTCGATCAAGCTTGTTCTCGATGGAGCTTCCGTTCGGCCAACCAACACTGTTCTTCACAGTACCACCCGATGGCTCTTCAACGTACCAAATTGGTAATTTCGCTGGAGTTACACCAAACGACATTCTTTCTCAAATGGAGACTGATGTTCAGGCCTGTTCAGAATATACAAGGACAAGTCTAGGCTACATTGCAACATCGAATCCGCATGCTAGCGCTAGGTGTGCTTTGTCAATCATTCCGTTCTGCCAATAATATAACTTTATCTACTTTGACTTGTTGATGAATATCATCCCAGAAGTTGTATTAAACTGGGATTCTGTCAATGGACGCGCACACCCGGAACCAGTCTTATTTGGAGTCACCAAAGCGTATTATGCAGCAACGGGGCAGCGGCCAGGCCAAGTCGGAGATGGCAGTAGTTTTACTTTAACATGTAC